AGGGCAGGCTTGTGGGTTCAGGGAAGTCTTGTGGGGTACAGGGCAGGCTTGTGGGTTCAGGGAAGTCTTGTGGGGTACAGGGCAGGCTTGTGGGTGCAGGGAAGTCTTGTGGGGTACAGGGCAGGCGATGTGGGGTGCAGGGTGGGCTCATGGGGTGCACAGTGGGCTCATCAGTGCAGAGTGGGCCCGTGGGGCACAGGACAGGCCCGTGGGGTGCAGCGTCCCAAAACCAGAGTCCAGTGGGCAGGGCGCGACGGAGCAGACCCTCAAGGAGAGACCTGCTCTGGACAGTGGCAGGGATGTGGATGGGAGGGGCTCTCACCGAAGTTCCCCAGACTGTTCTCGCGGGTGTCCACACGCATCTCCAGGATGCTCACCAGTCGGAGGTCATCTACCCGGGCCAGGGCCTTCTGCAGAAATTGATATGGGGTCAGCCCTGGGGACTGGACAGTGCTCACTCCCTCCCAGTGACGTCCCTGCCTCTGGCAGTGGGACAGGAGCAGGTGGCAGACGTTTCCCTGCCTCGTCCATGTTGACCGTGGCCGTGGATGGTTTTGCCTGGTGGAGTACAAGGGGACATGACATAAGCAGAGGCTGTAACTGTGCATGGCTGTGGGGCCACTGCCAGAGAAGAGCCTGCCCTGAGGGTGCTGGTCTCCAGATGAAACTCAAGGACAGACCCAACGCAGGACCCCAGAGCTGGCTGGCCTGGAGGTGGCCCATGGCTGTGTGCCTGTCTCTGTCCCTTGGGGTGGTGGCCGGGGCTGTCGAGGAGCTGGCGGGCAGACCCATCCTGATGTGACAGCTCCACACTGGACCAGGGCACTGGGAAGGTGCAGGTGCTGCAGGAGTGGCTGGATGGCCCCACACACAGAGGGGCCAGCAGGGGCATAGGGAGGGGCCTGGCGGGAGTGTCCCATCCACCTGCAGGGACCAGGTGGCTCGGACCCTTCTCCAAAGTGGTCAGGAAGGCGGGTGGGGGTGTTGGTGGGCATGTCACCCCGTGGTCTCCAAGTGACCCCTCTTTGTGTGCATCTCACCTGGTGCAAGCCTGGGTGCACTGGAGGGGCACGGAGGGAGGGCCTGGGGGGTGCCTGCACCAGGTGGGGTCTGCCCCCTCAGGGTGGCCAATGGCGGGCGAGGGGCGTGGCCAGGAAGGGAAAGGCCTCCCACGCTGGGAGGGGCAGGGTTGCCCAGTGGGGTCACAGGGTGGGAAGTGTAGTCAAGGGGGCTCTGCAGAACCTGCTGGGCCTCAGGGTGGGGGTGGGGGGTGACAACGAACCCCCACTCCAGATTTGGGAGAAAGCCTTCACCAGCTGCCCCAGATACTGTCAGTGGGACCCCAGGACGGCCCCCACCTGAACAGCTTGCCCCTCATGCCTGGGCTCCCCTACTCTGCTCGTGGTTTCATCAATTCCCGGCCCTTCGCACCTCCATGTGCCGTGCACCTCGATGGTTTCCACCCCGTCTCCCACCAGAACCTCAGCTGCTCGAACGAGGGGCGTCTTCTCTGGTTCATGGAGTGGTGCACCGAGGGGTCCCCGGAGCCCAGCGCACAGTGGGTGCTCAGCAAACACTTGTGGAATTCCTGCCTGGCTCAGTCCCTTCTGTGGCCTGAATGCCTGGGAGACGTCTGTGTAGCCAAGCCCCTGGGATTGGCCTTGAAGGTGGAGCAGGCGCAGGGGACACAGCAGGGCTGAGAGCATCTGTCAGCCAGGCAAGGCTAGGAGGGCGGGGGACAGAGGGCAGGCTGGACGCCAGTCCCAGAACATCACCCCACACGGGCCCTGCAGTCCGAGCCCCCAGCCTCCAGCACTCACCAGTCGGGCAGGTGCCAGACACTCTTCCACCAGCTGCTCGCTGTGGCCACCCCCATGGCTGCCCGGGGCCTTGCTCTGCGGGCAGGGGTTGTGCAGGCCCTGCCAGCTCAAATCTTGCACGTGGACACTGGCTGTGCTTGGCCGAGGCCCACGGGCTCTGTCCCAGGCCGGGTCCATGCACATCCGACCTGCCAGGATAGGCAGAGGGTAAGGCCGCTCAGCCTTTGCTCTTTCTGACCCCGCAGAGCCCTCGACACGTCCCCACCCATGGCAAGCTGCCAGAGCCCACCCCCAGGGCCCGGAGAAGGCTCTGGTGGTGCCCTCACCCACTTAGTCTCAGCTAGCCTGGGAGCCTTGCAGTCCCCTCCCTGAGCTTTGGCACACCCTCTGCCTGGGCGAGTCATCCCCCGGTGTTTCTGCCCATCCTTCAGGGTCCATGTGAGGAGTGCTGGCTCCAGGCCTCCCCAGCTGAGGCCCCACGTAGGCTGTGAGCCTGGGGGTGCTGGCTGCAGGTCATGTTTGCGCAGAGGCCTGCTGCCACCAGCAGCAAGCAGCTGCCTCAGGCCCTGTGCTGTGCGTCCTTCTCCACCTGATGGTCTCCGAGCCTGGGGGCCCAGGACCAGGGTCTCAGGCATGCCCCCCACCCCAGCCTTGTGCCCATTGAGCCCCCTCACCTGGAGGGGGCTGCCTTTTCCCACCGTGGGTCAAACATCTGGGCAAGGGGGCGGCATGTGGCCCCAGGTGGCACCTGCAGGAGAGAGTCAGGTTGGCCTCCTGGCCAGGTCACCGTGCCCAGGGGACCTGGGACAGGCTGGGCTGAGGTCACAGGGCCCAGAAGTGAGCAGGTGTGAAGGTGGTAGGGGCTCAGGTCCTTTCCACCATCCTGATGGGGGATCTGGCCCGGCTGACCAGGATGACAGCCAGGTGAGTGAACAATGCTGGGGTCCCTCAGGGTCTCTCCATTGCAAATGGTCCTCATTCAAATCCCCCCTTCCTTCCATCCCCGACTCCACCCTCTCTCCAAAAGTGATCCCGGGTCTGCTGCTCTGGACTGTCTCCCACAGGCCGGCCTCCTTGGCACTCTATCCCTCCTGAGTCCCCTGACCCTAGGCCCCAGGGAAGGTTGTCCAGTGTGTCCCCGGACCACCTGCACCAGGCTCACCTGGCGTAGCTCCTTAAAGATGCAGACGCCTGTGCCTGGCCCCTGATCCTGGAATCATCGCTGGGGGTAGAGCCAGAAGTCTGCCCGGCACGTCCTGGCCACCTCCCTCCATCCTGGGTGGAGGCCTTACTGACCCCACTCCTGCACTCTCTCCCGCCCTTCCTGGATTTTCTTTCCTGCTAAGATTGACCCCTTCTACAACCCTCGTGTTTTACGACTCATTCAGTTGAGTGAGTGCCTCGCCCTGGGACAATGTGGGCTTGCGGACAGGATGCTCCCTTGCCGTGTCCACGGTGGGCAGATGAAAGGCTCTGAAATACTCTGGAGGAATCCGTGAAGGCGGCAGGTGCACCTTCTGGCCACCACTTTCATCTCTCAGCCCCCTGTGGACATTCAAGGTTCATCCTCTCCATCATGTCTAGAGACCCCAACTCCCACGGCCAGGGGAGTGGTCAGCTGGGTTTTGACAGAGGCGGTGGGAGAGGGTGCTGGGCCCTGGGACAAGCTGCCCAGGCTCCGTGTGCCTCAGTGGCCTTGTCCGGAGAGTGACCCATACACTGAAGATCCAATGGGGTGAAGGCCGTGAGGTGGCTCCCAGTGTAGAGCCTCTTAGAGTTTCCAGCAGGATTTCTTTCCAAAAGTTCCCTCTGCTGCCTGCCTTTCTCCAGTTGGTGAAGGGCCCCAAGCCTCGCAGGAGGATCCCACCGCCCTGCCCCCTGGGAAGATGCTGCCCACCCCACGCTGGCAGCCTCGGGCTATGGGGAGGGTGTGGGCCAGCCAGGGTGCGGCCCTGGGACACCCCTGGGCAGTATAAGGGCCGAGTCTGCTGCCCTCTTCCCTCTGTGCCCCCCGAGAGCAGCTGACCAGAGGTTCACCCATGTACCGGCCCACTCAAGCCCGAAGGTCTTGGTGTCCCAGGAACAGGGCCTGGGTTGGAGGCTGTGGCTCCCATCTAGACACCGTCCCTTCACGTTCATGCACTGGGCGGAACCTGTCCACTCTGTTCATGGCTCTGCTCCCACCCTGCCCTGCCCCTCCATGAGTCCCCCAAGCCCCCCAGCATGGAAACCTGGGGGCCTCTCTGTCTCCACAGCCTCTGGCACCGCTCAGGGACTCTCTGGGTCCCCTCCACCCCTCCATCCCTTCACCACGGTGGGGAGGGCCTGCTCCTCTCCTAGGTCCTCACCAAGGAACCCCCAGAGCAGAGTCTGGAACCCTGCCCCTCTCTCCCCCAGAGGCAGGGCTTGGGGCCCTTCCTGTCCCGGTAACTGGGAGCCCCGAAGAGCCCGGCCGGGGAGCATGGGCAGAGTCCCCGGGGGACTAGATTTGACATCTGGGGGCCTCACTGAGTCCCCACTGGCTTTGCTGCTTCATCCCCGCTCCCGCCCCTCGGCCTCAGTTTCTCCTCCGGCACGGGGGAGATAGCGAGTCCTGCAGCCCGAGCCCCAAGATGCCCTGGGCTCTCACCTGAGGGGTCGGCCCCGGTGCCCGGCCCTGGGCGCCCTCCGCCGCTGGCGGGCGCTCTCCGACTCCGGGTGTTCTTCCGGCCGCGGGGTTGCGGGGCCTGGCGCCATGACAACGGGGGCGGGGCTTTATTTGAATAATCAAATATTCATACACCGCGGGAATCTCGCAGGCTCCGTGGGGCCGAGCCACGCCTCTTAGCAACGGTTGCTAGGGCAGGCCGGCGGGGCGGGGCAGCCGCCGCAGGGTTGGGGACTCCGGCGGGTGCGGCCCCGCACGCGCGTGGGCGCCCGGCCAGCTGGGAGGGAAGCTGGGGCGGAGGTGAGACGCCATCAAGCCGGGGGGCGCAGACAGGCCAGGTGTCAGCCCCCTGCAAAAGTGGTCTGGGGTGGAGACGCGCGCCCGCCTTTCGCAGGTGGGAGGCGCCCGTGTGAGGGTCTTCCCGGAGGCCCTCGCCCTCCTGCGCCCGTGTGAGTGTCTTCCCGGAGGCCCAGGCCCTGCGCGATTTACCTCCGCCTGCAAGTGTGGCCGATGCCACGACAAGAGGAAGCGCCGTAGGAGAGGATCCTCTGCGGACGAGGGAAGTGCGAAGCTGGACACCTGGAGAGGAGTGCTGAGTGTCCGCACCCGCAAGGGACGCCATCACCCGTTTTCATTTATCCGCCTTTACTTCGTGTCTACGCGCGTGTCTACGCGCGAGCCGGGCTCTGTTGTAGCCGCGGTGCAGGGCGCGGGACGGCCAACAGGACACAGCCACGGCCCGTGGGGTCGGCGCCGTCGTGGGAGCGAGGGCGGCCCCACAAGGGGCCCGCCAAGGTCACGGTCAGCAGTGGGGTGAGCTCCGGGGGACAGCACCGAGCCGGCGGGGGAGAGGATGGTGATGGGAGGGGGTGCTGGCCGAGGACAGGGAGGTTCAGCCTTCTGTGTAATGCACCATTCTTTCTTGTAAACAAGGAGGGTGTGTTTATGCGTTACTTTGGAATTTTTTAAAATGTCAAGAACATATCTTTTCGAGAGTCTTGAAAGGAGACAGGACGTGCGTGTTTGTGCTTGGGGTGGGGGGAGACTTCAGGTCACCCCCCCATGGCAACTTTTGGATTGGCTTTGCTGGGTACCGTTTGTTAACTGGGGCACACGGTGAGCTTCTGCAGGGTTGGAACCTCCGGGTTTGGGGGGGAGCTGGGTGGGCCGGTAGTCTGCTGGGCCTGCCCAAGTCGGGGGAGGCTTGTGGTGAGGGAGTGCTGGAGAAAGGCTCTCCTCGGAGCCTGGGGGGGGCTGCGCGCTGGGTATGTGAGAAGCAAGACGCGGGCACGGGGTAAAAAGATGGAGTCAGACTCGCTGATCCACGGGCTCAGACGCACCCACCCAGACGCGGCGCCCCCGCACCGCCGGGCCCTGAGCGCACGGCTGGGCCGCAACGAAGGACCCCCCCGAGCCTGCCAGGCGTCCTGGGGGAGATGGCGTCCGTCTCGGAGCCACCTGCGGGGAAGGGGATGCAGGGCAGCCAGGTTCCCAGCCACTGGGGGTCCCAGAATTCCAGCGCGGTTCGGGCCTGCTCCTGGCACCAGACCCTCGTCCCTGAGGCCCCCTGCCTTCCTCCACCTCAAGCCCGGGGGCGTGCGCGGTGCTAGCCCTGTGGGGTCCACCCAGCCTGTCCCTCCCGCTCCGGGCCCCCGTGGGTGGGCGGCAGGGCGCGGCGCGGGGAAGGCCTCGGGGGGCGCGGGAGCGCCTGCGCGTCAGCGAGGTGCCGAGGAGCCCGGCGCGGGGCTCCCCGAGCAGCGCAGGGGCTCGAGGCTGACCCCGGCGACCCCGCCCAAGTCCACACCCGGCCGCGGACCCGCTTCTGCGTGGGGTCTCTATCTCCCCGCGAGTCCGGCCTGCTCCTAGGAAAGTCCAGGCCATCCCCGGAGAAGCGGTCACCCCCGGCTTGCAACCCCAAGCCCCTCGCTCGCCTCCGGCGCCGACCGAGCTATCCCCCAAGGCCGCGGCCCACGAGGACCACCCGGCCGGGCACCGCCCTCAGCGCCGCTCCCGGAAGCCCCGCCCGGCCGCGGCCCTTGATGGGCGGGCCGCTCGGCCAACCGGAGCAGAG